GCTGGGCCCGGTTCCCAGCACGTGATGCTCCCCACGAATAGATTGGAGCAATATTAAAAAAAAAAAAAAAAAAAAAAAAGGTCTGCACTTCAAAGCTCATGGGTGTACCAAATGAGTCAGGGTCGTTGGTAGAGCTTAGACTTTAGCATTTTGACCGCTCGTGGTTTTTTTTTTTTTTTTTTTTTTCGGCATTGCATCCTCTTCCTCATTCAATCATTGTCATCATCATCATGGGCTTTTTCTTTTACAACCCACAAAAAATTGGGTCTGCATTTCTCAATTCCTGCGTGTCATCCTTGCGCGCAAGCGTCATGCCATTCTTCCCTGTATCGTCCTTCCGATTTTAACGAATGTGCCAAAGGACCATCGGCTTTTTCTCGCTCCCACCATTCTCCCCCGAACACAACGCCCCCTCATTATGACTGTACCCAACCGGAAAGATAGCTTGTATACATTCATCATCAGGGTGCGTTAGGTTCGGGGGAACACGGTAGTTCCCTCATCGGCTTCCCCCCCCATGTGTCGATTCCAGTCTACCAAGGATCACAGCGATCACAGAGGGTGCTGCTACCGTCTTTACCCGAGTAGAACGCCGGGCCATTCTATCTGTATTCGGGGCAACTTTCGATCTAGATGCAGCGATAATGATCGGGCGTTCTGTCCGGATGAAGACGGTAAACGGTCGATCACAGAGGGTGCTCTTACCGTCTTTACCCGAATGGAACGCCCGGCCATTCTACGTAGCTGTATTCGGGCCAACTTTCGATATAGATGCAGTGATAATGATCGGGCGTTCTGTTCGGGTGAAGACGGTAGCTGTATTCGGGGCAACTTTCAGTCTAGATGCAGCGATAATGATCGCGCGTTCTGTCTGGGTGAAGGCGGTAAACGCTCGATCACAGAGGTTGCTACTAATGATCGATTACAGAGTGTGCTAATACAACACAATATATAGTTATTATTGCTGTATTTGGACTGCAAGATACCCCAAATACAGCTACAAATGACCGTACGTTGTATTCGGGTAAAGAACGTAAACTCGATCACACGGTGCTCCTAACGGTGGATGACAGAGAGCCTACTGACAGTCGATCACAGAGGGCGCTACTAACGGTCTATAACGGTCGATAACAACGAGGCAAGAGGGTGCTACCAACTCCCGGTGATATCGTGATATCTTCCATGCGGAATATAAACGGCGGCTTTGAAATTTCCGCAGAGGGAAATCAGTTCCAGCATTTTCATTTTATTTCATTTTATTCTTTTCTTTTCTTTTCTTTTATTTTATTTTATTTTATTTTATTTTTACACCATCAAAGTTATAAGTTATACCCACGCCCTTTCCTTTTCTTTTTTCCCCGCAAATCCGTGGTCGATCTGATCACCGATTTCGTGCTTGATCCACGCCAAACGAAATAAATAAAACTCAATCCATAGTAATAATAATAGTAATAATAATCATAATAATGTAATAAATTACTAATAATAAATAAAAACAATTCATATATTTGGCAAGGACAGCCACGAATTCCAAAAAACAATTAAAAAAAAAAAACAATTTATCTTGTCGGCAAGGAAGTCATCGTCGAAGAAGATGCCGGAAACGAGCCCTAAATATCCCTTCTAAAAATATTCAAATTTCAATTTTTTTTATTTTTTTGGTCATAATTATGATGATATCTTTCCATGATATGCTGATTTATTTATTTATTCAATACCGTTTCTCATCTTCCTCTCTAGTTTAAGGATCTTTTGCAAAACAAAAAATATATGCTAATACTATTATTAATATTTTATTATATGCATAGATGGAATAAGCAATAATACTAATACCAATCAATGCAACTCCAATCGAGCTTACATTTACAGTAAAAGTGTTAAAAATAACTTGTTTCATTAATTATCCATTTTTCCTATGTCATGCCTTTTCTCTTTTCCCTTCCCGCTGCGTCCTTTCCGTCCCCCGCCCGCGCCCCCCCCTCCTCCCCCCCCCCTTCCCCTCTCTCTCTTCTTTTTCCTGAATTTTAGTGGCCTCGCACCACTACTACTCTCGACATACACAAACGACACAAAAATCATGGCGGTGTATCTTTCCATGTTCTAGCGGAAGATTCACTCTCGTTTTGCACATTTCGAGAGTAGTGGAGCGAGGCCCTATATCGTTTCATTCCGATTTTCTTCCCGTTTACGAGTTTATTACATCGATTTTCCTTTCCGTTTATGAGATTCCTTTTTTCAAAAGAGATAAGTTAAACCCCTAACGTTACTGTATTCAGCCCATTCCATCAGAGTTCGTACCATTCAGTCTGAATCTGGACGTGTTTGTCGAGAAGTGCAGAAACCCCTAACGGTACTGTATTCAGCCCCTAACGTTTTCAAAAGGGCTGTCTATCAACAGTTACAAGATTGCACCGATAAGTCAGTGACACATGAGATCACTGGCCCGCTTTTCCCTCTTGTCTTCTGGATTCCTTTCTTTCTTTTTTTAATCCATAAGTTTATCCATAAATTTTGTTCTGGTTTTTCCTCCCCTCTTATCTTACATCTTATTGCTGCTAAGAATCGAGCCCTCTCCTTCACATCCACTCACTCTCCGCAATCGAATTTTGCCTTCCCCTTGCATCGCCCGCCCCCACCCGCCCCTTCCTCAAGTTTCTCTGTGACAACTAATCGTCTCTCTCTCTCTCTCTCTCTCTCTCTCTCTCTCTCTCTCTCTCTCTCTCTCTCTCTCTCTCTCTCTCAAGATCTTCAAAGTTCAGACCCCTTTTCTCCCTTCGTCGATGATTTCTGTAATTGGATTCCTGTAGTCGTTGCTTCGTCCTGTTTGGCTTGCTTTGCCTGGTTTCTCCTTTAGTTAGTTTATCCCCGCGATTTTTTTCCCGACTTTCTTGCATTTTTCCCCGATCCGTTTTTCATTTGATACTTTTTTAGACAACTTATTATGTTCCTTTTCCTCGTTCATCTCTTTCCTTCCTTTGGGATATCCTGTTCTTTCTTCGAAAAAAAATCCCCCTCTTTTTCTTTCTTTGTGTTCTTCTTTCCTTCTTCTTTCACCCGTCAGCCATTGGTTATCCTGACTTTTTTTTTTTTTTTTTTTTTGAGACCGCCTCTCTACCCATCCTCTCGTCAATTATCTTTGCGCAACCCTTCTTATTCCCACCATTCCTACCTCAGTGTCAATCACTCAGTGTCAATCACTCAGTGCCAATCACTCAGTGCCAATCACTCAGTGCCAATCACTCAGCGCCAATCACTCAGCGCCAATCACTCAGGACTGTCACCTCGCAATCTCCCCGCCCTTAAGGAGGACTATCACCTCACCATATCCCCGCCACCCGTAATTTCCGTTCCGGTTTCCTTTTTTCCCCGTTTCAATTCGTTTTTATTTCGCTTCCTCCTTTTCTTCCACTTAACTTCATTTTTTGGATTCCGTTTCGCTGCATTTTTGGATTCCGTTTTCAGATTCCGTTTTCAGATTCCGTTTTCAGATTCCGCTTTCAGATTCCGTTTTCAGATTCCGTTCTCACTCCATTTCTTGGTTGGTTGCAATTTGTGGGGTGGTGCCGCAAGGCGGATCCTGAGAGAAAGCCCCTGCGGAGCGCCAGGTTCGATACCTGGCCGAACTGCGTCGGGCACTGAGCTCCTTTTTTTTTTTTCCTTTTTTTTGTAAGGAAAAAGCAAGGAATCCATTATAATGAGCTCGTTTCATCTGCCTACAACGTACGTGAAGGTCGTTAAAAAAAATGTTTATTGAAGCATGTGCACATGACAGGTACTGGCAGCTGTTTGCGTTTTCTGGGTTTTTTCCCCATTCATCTTGATTCGAACTACAGGCCCATTGGCCGCTGTTTTTTTTTTTTTTTTTTTTTTTTTTGGCCGCTGTTTATCACTATGTGGTTTCCCTCCATTTCTTCTAGTCCTTTTTTTTTTTCTCTCTTTCCTCTTTCTTTTTGTTCCTTTTTGAAAGGGCGACCGCCTTGAGATGTCATTGTCAAGCTGCGCGCCCCCTCGTAATCAGGAATTCTGTTAATGTAGTTCCATCTGGATTCGAACACAGGTCCGCAGTTCAATCAACAGTTTGTGGGTGTACAAACTGAGCTAAGGCCTGTTGTCCATTTCTTCTATATTCTTTTTCTTTTTTTTCTTTTTTTTTCTATATTCCGTTTCACTCCATTTCTTCCGTCAAAATGTTTAACGTTTAGTTTTTACTACTACGATTCTTTTTTGCTCACTTCGCAATCCTTTCTGATTCCTTTTTTTTTTTTTTTTTGACTTTTTAAAGTTACTCCTTTAGTTCCTATCAACCTCTTCCTCCTCCTGTTTACAATCTCGATTAATCATAAATCTTTTTTTTATGACTACTTGCTACCTCCTTTCACATTGCCTCTCTTTTTCCTTAGTCTGTGAATCCCTTCTCCCGTCCCTACTTCTCCTACTTCACCCCCCACTCTCCCTTCCTCCTCCTCCTATTTCCCACCATACTTTCCCTTGCCTTCCTGCTTCACCTCTTGCAAGTTTTTTTTTTTTTCTCAAACCCTTGTTCTCTATAACGTTTTGGCTTGTCTTCACTTTCCTGTCACGTTAAAAAAATGGCATTGGCCACTTCACGCCACCTTTGCAAGCACCACGGCTCTCCAGCTTCTCTCCCTGTTCGAGGAGATGATGACGATCAACGATATTCATGAAGCAGTGCTTAGATGACACGTAACCCGCCTCCTTTCAGAGACCAAAAAACAAAAATCTCATTTTCTCCCTCTCATTCTCTCCTCTTCTTGTTTCAATGAAACTTCTCTCTCTCTCTCTCTCTCTCTCTCTCTCTCTCTCTCTCTCTCTCTCTCTCTCTCTCTCTCTNTCTCTCTCTCTCTCTCTCTCTCTCTCTCTCTCTCTCTCTCTCTCTCTCTCTCACACACACACACACACACACACACACACACACACAAACACACACACACACGCACGCACGCTGGGGCCCACACGCACGCACAGATAGGTTAACTGACCTTTGTCAGAGAAAGCATTGCTTGCACAGCAGCAGAGAAAGACACAGAGCACCACCGCAGCCATGAAGGAACCGGAAAATGGATACAGACGCCGTGTTAGGCGGCGTGCCCGCCCGCAACCACAGGCATCTCTCCACGCGCTGTTACTCCCTCTTCTCTCCTCTCCAACGCCGTTCGCCATTGATACCCGCCCTCCCACTCCGTCATTCACCGACTTCTCCCCACGCAATGACTCGCTAGATCCGGCTCCTTCACCTTCATCATAGCCATCACCCCAGCAACCTGCACATCTTCTCCTTCCTCCTCCAAGAAGTGACAACGGTTCCTCACCCACCATAGCCATAGCCGTCGTGATCGCCGTCCCCTCATTTTTTTCGTCGCAACATCGATCAGCTGGGCCGCCATATCGATCACCACAAGCTCCATCTTCGCTACCGTCGGCCCACGTGTCCCACAGGCCGCGATAGCAATCAGCCCACGTGTCCCACCGGCCACCATAGCCATCGCTCCACGTGGTTGCCATGCAGTCGCCATTCAGCCGCTCTCCTGCGGCTTCTCCCCCAAGTTGTACTTCACCGGTACCATAGCGCGCCAAGCCGTCGATCGCCGCAGCCGGGTCCATCGCGCCGCCAACGACGACCTTCACAGCCTTATGATAACAACGAAAACAGATAAGAGGAATATCGATGAAGAAACACGGGCCCCCCTCCCACCGCCTCGCCTCTCTCACCCACCCACTTATCTGCTGCCCCCTCCCCCGCCGCTTCGCGCGAAAAAGCGCCCGCCTTTTACGTCTTACTGCATCACTCTATCGATCAATCAATCAATCAGCTCATCTGACGCATGTGACTTATGACCCAAAAGCACAACCTTCTTAAGAACCGATCAACCGATGAGAATGCGGGATATCCTCTCCCCCATACCTCTCCCACTGTATGCCCTCCCTCTCTCCCTCTCTCCCTCCTCCTTTCCTCCCCTTCTCGCGGCTTCCTGAGAATTAATACACCAATATTACAGACGCAAACCGGCTTTTAGATGTGAACTAGTGGACTTCCGTCCCATCCGCGCCGTCGGCAATGAGACATAAGAGGCGAACTAATCGCACCCGATTCGATCCTTCTCATTGAGGTATGTTTTGCTTCTTTGTTTCCAAGGTTGGGGGGTCAATACAGAGGGGAGGAGTTTTCATTGAATGTGGATTTTTCTAGAATGCGCGAGATGTAAATGAGGGATTGATTGATTTAATTACGATTCACCTCTCCTCGACACGACAAAGTACGATCAGACCCACCACCTGAACACAAGCGAAGATAGACCGATCAGAAAATAGTGATGGGCACGTGGAATCACGATGCCGCAGAATTGCGATGGGTACAGACAGCAGCGGTGAACATGGACAAGCGGATAGCCCAAATACGTGCGCAGCGGACACCTGGCACCAAGACCCGGATTGATGAAGACAATACTAGAAAACCTAGCTAAGGGCAGGTGTACAGTGGAAACAAGGGATCCCTGTTTCGACGAATCCAACTGGAGCACAACAGACAACAGTGCGGAAGAGACGTGTGCAGTCGTCCAAAGGACAACTGTACAGTGCCAAGCACGCTGCGAAGGACACGTGTACAGTGAAATTTCGCGTCCGAGTTCCCCAAGGTTGATTGGCCCAGGAATGTCAAGAGAATCGTCCAGACTCGAAGGAGGAGAAGAGAGAGAGAGAGAGAGAGAGAGAGAGAGAGAGAGAGAAGGAAGGAAGGAAGAAGAACAAGAAGGAAAGGGGAGATAAAGAACAGAACGAGAAAGGGAGAGAGAGAGAAGAGGAAAGAAGAAGAAGAAGAAGAAGAAGAAGACAAAGAAGAAAGAGGAGGAGGAAGAAGAGCCGGAAGAGGGGAAAGAGGAGAGAAGAAGAGGAGGAGGAGGAGGAGGAAGAAGAAAAGGGAAGACAAAGAACAGACGTAGTCAGAGCCCTGTAGGCCAGATCTAGATGCGACTTGCAGAGCGCGCCGAGCTTAATTGAGTTTGTAGAGCACGCACAGGGCGGATGCAGAGGTTTCAGATGATAGACTATGACTACTCGCTGGCCGGAAATCAAAGCAAACGAAACAAGGAGAGGAGAACGCCAATGAGGTGGAAATGGTTGCGGTAATGCTGGGTAGGGCCAGGGGAGAAGGAACAGACCTCCTACGTTCCAGAAGTCGATAAGAGACCGGCATCAGCCGTCAGCTGGCGTCAACGATGCTCGCACACAAGGACCGGATGCTGATCCCCCCCCACCTCGTCTCACGGCTTTCGTCTTCGAGTAAACGCCGGACGATAGACGGACATCAACAACGACCGCAAAGCAACGACCGATCGGCTGCGGTATACCTCATCATGATCATCGGGAACTACCGGTCGCCGTGCACGACACCCCATTCTTGTTCTCGCAAATGCGCAATCCTCAGGGCCTGGCTCCCCTACTCTACACATGCACAAAAGACACAGAATATGGTGGTGTATCTTTCCATGTTCTAGGGGAAGATGCCTTCTCATTTTGCACATTTGAAGAGTAGTGGAGCAACGCCTTCAGTCTCCATAGAAGCAAAAAGAGAGCTAGAGAGAGACGATGGCGAGACGGAGAGAACGACCAGAGATGGCCACCCACACAGACAGACAGACAGACAGACAGACAAACAGACAGACAATACAAGACAGACAATACAAGACAAGACAGACAGACAGATGGTGTTTATATCTCTTGAAGCAATACGATGAGGGCCGGGCTGTGCGGCGGGATGCAACGCAGTTCGATCGGTGAAGTTTCGATATCTGGCGCCAAAACTCCGCTCTTCTCTTCCGCCTCCTACGGTAATTTCGACATTGCGCGCCAGAACTCCCCTCTTCGCCTCCCCACCCTCTCAATATTTCGTTTAGGCTGTAAGCGGCGGCAACTTCCCGCCTACTTGAAAAAACTCCCGCCGTGTAGGCTATGGCTGACACGTGGATCGATCATGGCTAGGACCGTTTCCACGTGCGCCCGCCCAAACCATTCTCCGTTCGGGGCCCCCGCCCTCCGCCAAACGTGCCCGACGAGACCCCCCCTCCCTCCCTCTCGCGTCCACCCCGCCCACATCGCCACACAACCACCGTCAAATTCCCCGCCCCAACCGGAACGGAAGAGACGCGTTGGTCAACATTCGACGGCCAAAAAGACGAATGCGCGGGGCCAATCACCGCATGCGAAAAAGACGAAAACTGTGGCGGGCATATCTTTCCACATTCTAGCGGGAAATGCATTTTTCCATCCTCTCTATTTTACGAATTTGGTGACTACCCGTAGTGCGGCCAGCCCTACCGGGGAAGGTCGTACGAGGGCACACAAATTAATTAATTGAATGAACTGTTAGGCACTCCCGCACAACTCGCCAAGCACCAACAACATGAATGTATTTTAACAAAGTGGTAGTCCCTGTACATTCAAAATGTCGACGTTTGGCGAGTGGTGCGGCGCACTCCTTGTTGCGTCCGAAAAATAATAGACTCTGAGTTGTTTGTGGAAGGCCTTCTCTGTATCGTTCCAATTTTAACGGATGTCCAGAAGGACTTTGTGAAAGGCTTAGGGTCAGATCCCACTACCCTGGATTATTCATTTTTCACCCTCGATTACGAAGATCAACGGTCAGACATGAACAATAGGGGCTAGTGGGATCTGGCCCTTAGGAGTAGTGGTGAATCGAGAGAAGGGGGAGGAAATCCAACATCCAGCGGCCTATCTCAGTTGGGAAGGCACACAAGTGGCATTCAGGAGGTCTTGGGTTCAATCCCCATTGGCCTCATGCACCTTCATGGGCAAGCTTGGCGCTCGACACGTAGAGATATGCCGTTGGTCCCCCTAAGTGGCATTGAGAAGAGACTGCTGATGTTCATAGCGGGAGGGGACCGGAGGGGAGGCACAGTGACTGGCCCATCGAACAAGCTCGGTCCCGATGCTACCAGCTGACCCCTGGCAGGGGAACCAAACATCCAGCGGCCTAGCTCAGTTGGGAAGGCACACAAGTGGCATTCAGGAGGTCTTGGGTTCAATCCCCATTGGCCTCATGCACCTTCCTGGGTAAGCTTGGCGCCCGCCACGTAGAGATATGTCGTTGGTCCCCCTGAGTGGCATTGAGAAGAGACTGCTGATGTTCATAGGGGGAGGGGACCGGAGGGGAGGCACAGTGACTGGCCCATCGAACAACTTGAAGCTCGGTCCTGATGCTACCAGCTGACCCTGACCTGTATCGCCCACCTGTTGTATGCTACCGGCTGACCCCTGGCCGGTATCGCCCACCTGCTGTATGCTACCGGCTGACCCCTGGCTGGTATCGCCCACCTGCTGTAGCAGGTATTGCACATGCTGGTGGGTGCAGCTCCCGCATGTTCCTTCGTTGGAGGCTTGAGCACGGATGTGGCTGCTACGGTGTCGAGCGCATCGGTCCGGCATCGCCCAAGGCAGCGCGGGACCCTCACGGCCGCGTCACGCAGGAGTCAGTCTGGTCCTCATCGCAAATGCATATGGAGATTCCGCAAACCGCTCCGGCCGAGTGCGCCAGCCATACCTCTCGTGAGCCCCTAGAACAGGATAGGGCCTACGCGAGGCACGACTTACCTCCACCTTGCGGGAGCTATCACCTCCCTTCGGTGGGCGTATCCCCGTCGAGCTATCAGTCCACAATACGAAGGTTGATCAGTTGCAATCGTAGAGGTGGACCAGTCGAGGGCGTTACTCGTTCGCTGTAGCATAGGGGGTACGCGCGGTATTACACCTCTATCGGACCCGCACACGAGCTTGCATCTTGGGGCAGTTGAGGTCCCAAGCGCGACTCATCGCCGGTCGACTAGGACGCATCCCACACGCCACACGCACACCACTATAAAGAACATAAAAACAAAACACACACACACACGCACGTACATATACTTATACAGGACGACACTGAACAAACAACACGACAACACTCCTAGTCCCTTACTAGCCATCCCATAACTTTCCGATGCGGAAATCGGATAGGCGTCGTGCGCGAGACTTAGTATAAAATCGCGCAGACGCAGGGCTAACTTATATCGACTCGCAATGAAAGCGTACGCAAGCGGTCGCAATGATGACGTACTATGTAGTACCCATACTCATGCGGTCTTCGTTGATCTCGAGGGTCGCATTCGACACTCAAGTGTCGACTGACACGCGCCTTGAAGGATTGATCTCTCGACGCTGGACAACCGTCAAGTGCGGTTGAAAACCACACCCTCTTCTGCACCCTGCAGAGAGTGGGTGGTACACAGGTTCATACCTGTGGTGACAATCGTCTCTTATTGCCTTGGAAACCAACTCCATCATCTAGGGGCTGGAGAGAAATCAAGGGCTTTGACTTTGACGTTTGTCACGGACTACAGCGTCCAACCATATAAATCATAAAGAGCAAAGGCTAAAAGGGGATCTCCCTTTTCTCGCAAAAACATAATTTGTTTAATCCTTACACGCGATCACGGTAGGCCGCGCGAAAACACCCAAGACATATGTATTTACATATATATATAAAGGTTATAAATATGTGACGATCACTTCTCACAATCACTGTGGGGCTCATCTCAGCCATATATATGTATATGAGCGCAGACAGTCAAATCCAAAGTCCGAATCACCAAACATACCTGCAATCACATCAAAGATTCAACCAAAGTCCATGCACTACACGGGGTCAACTTCAACCATTCTCTGCGCTCACACCCCTTGTTTTAGCCACACAAACCTCAACCTTAGCGCACCCTTCCAGCAATAAAATACTCAGTACCTTTGTTAAATGACCATTCAATAAAGTCCGGGTAAAAACACAATGAAACATTTCAAACCACAGGGCTAAAACCTTTAGGTTAAGTGGCAAGAGCGGATTGGAGTTGAATCGTAAGCCGACGAATCGGCAACCGACCTGTTATCGGTGATAACAAAAAGTGATCCTTGTAGGATCAAGCTAGATCTAATCATGACTTTGAATCAGACGTTCAAGAGAACCTGTAACACAAGACAAGTCAATCCCCAAACTAAATCTATGAGT